CAAGTTTTAAAGTTGTTTATCTCGTCGAGTTACTTAAGGTACCTTAGTTTTGGGCGGGCAATTCTAAGATTTTTCTGTCGCCGGAATAGTACCTGGAAGTCTGAGTTCAAAAGATAGTTTGTAGTCCTCGAGGTGGTGAGCTTGGTGGTGTGCTCCGTTTTGCGAGAGTTCGTCGTTTGACTAACGATTGGAGCCTCGCAAATTTGGACAGTTATATAAGATATGATTGGATCGTTATATCGTGTCAGATTTTATATATGTTGTAGTTGATGTTGTGAGGAGTCTTTAGGTGCAGACGGATTGGCAATCGAACGTCCCGATCTTAAGTTAGTGTGTTTTGAAGTTAAGGCGATCGATCTCCATTCGATTTTGCGTGATCGTGCGATCAAGAATGATTCAACCTTTGGATCGGGCCCAAATTGATGCAGAGTGATGTCGAGACTATTTAGAGTCCATTGGTGCGATCAGATTTGAAATCGGAGGTCGAAGGCCAGAGGTTGATTTTTGGAGTGTCGGTTGGACGGGTGGGACCCACAGGACCCAAATAGTGACTTTTTAGACAATGGGTGTCATTGGTCCTGCTTTGACGTCGACAGTGTGTACGTCACAGTTTCGGAGTGTTTTGGACGATAATTGATTGCTTTGGATCCCTGGCTGGTCCGAAGGGCATTTTCATCATTTGGACGTGGAATCTCGAATTTGCTCGAGATTGAAGATCCACGACGTGGTTGGTCATGACAATTTTGGAGTTGTTGGTGACTTTCGCGAGTCACGTGAGAGGTGCGTCTCGAGTGATGTGTGCCTCGATTTGCGTGCAAGTGCACAATTAGTTGAGATGAGCGAGGAGCTCAATTATTATTGGATTAACATGTTGTGGTGGTTTTTGAGAAACTGTTTTGTGTGAGTTTAAAATCAATCAAATGTGTTTTGATTGTAAATGAGTTGCAGGTTTTTGCAAAATGGATGGTATTCAGGGGAATGACCATGATATGTTGTGATTGTATTGTGGTGTTCATAAATGAATGGCCACATAAATATATATAAATAAATATTTATTGTTGTGGTGATTGTATTTGAGATAGAAAACAATGTTTAAGGTGCAAAGTGCATTTTGTTGTTTTCGACGTGTGTTGATGTTGTGATTGGAAGGTAGATGCGAGAATGCACTGATTCCTTCAATTAGAAGAGAACCAGCAGGATGGTTTGACCATGGCAACTAATTAGGGAATTGTAGCCTTGGGGTGCGAGGCTCCAAACCATTTAGAGATCTAAGTGTCGCCATTACAATGTTCATGAGGGTAACACATAGTTACTTGACGGCTTAGGCACGAATTCGTGAACATGCATCGTGCCATTTCGGATGGTGTAGGTGTTTGTGAGTTGGGAGAGTCTAGCGTATTCTCACTTATTTGTCCAAGAGTGACATTTATGAGTTGTGTTTCTAACAGATTTAAAATAGATTTTGAGGTCACAGGTGGTGACTTGACAATTCTTGAAAATAAAAGAATTGTGATTGGGGTGAGTTCATTGATTATGAGTACCTTGATTATACAAGGATCGTGGTATGCTAATGAAAGTGCATGTGTTTGTATATTATATGTAAATGACATATTTATACTGTTGGTTGTGGTTTATTCATATGAGCTTTAGAAAGCTTACCGGGTTTGTTGGTGATGAACCCGATACACTATTCAACGGTGTAGGGGCTAATCCTGCAAGTAATAGAAACACATGGCTTCGTCAAGAGCAGAAAGCAAGATGTGTACTTGAAGTGTACAAAGGTTGTTTTGAGAGTATTGTTGAGATTAGACTTCCGTTGTGTGTGATAAACTCTGAGAAACAGATATGTAATAGGTTGAAGTTTCAATTTATTATGTAACTGTTGGAATGTAATATTTGACTTAGAAGATTGAGTCAGTATTGACATTGTGGTTCGGAATAGGAGGTATTGTATTATAGAAAAAAAGAAAAATTCCTTGTACATTGGTTGAAGGTTCCGAACTTCACGTCCCGGTTTGTTTGTAATAACTTAGCATATTATTTGTGGTGGAAGTTTGTGTTAGATTATGTGAGGATCTTGGTTTAATTTTCGCACAGAGCCCTCAAAATCTCAAGACCGACCCTGGCTGCAAGACCCAGTAAAAAATAAATAGTTGTACATTGGAGCAGATGCAATTTGTTTTCTTTGAGCTTTGTGTTTTTTGTTGGTATATTAATTTTGTGCATGTACATAACAAAAAGATGAAAGGAATTTGTATGAGTATCATGTTTAAATTATCTATCGATGTTACTAAGCAATAAAAATATATATTAACAGAAAAAAAGTGATACTCCACATAATACATGTTGAAGGCAATGTTTCAAA